ATGGAAGCATCGCGTGATGCTGCCCTGCAGGGGCAGCTCAACAGCCCACACGCAAAGGTTGAGAAACCCCTGGCTCTGCCGGGGCTCATTGGACAATCTTGGTGCGATCCTCTTTTAGTTTTTAAATAACCCTTGGAAGCAGTGGGAATTGTGGGAATGCATTGGGGATGTACAAATCTCCATAGGACAGAATAACTCAGGCAAAGTGCAACGATAACACGGCTCTCCAGAATTACTGGAACATGCTGCTGTCTGGTAAGTGCAGAGCAGAAGGTGAACAAGCTTGGATCTGTCTGCCAACTCAGAAATGTCTGTAATTAGATCTTATCAGTTACTTAACATCCTACTTCTGTCTATATTTTGTTTATATTGAGAAACCAATAATCCCGTTACTAGCCAGTATATGTCAAGCAAATACAGCACAATTAAGTCCCGTATTTAAAAAGTGTTATAATTACAAATCTGAACTATTGCCAGATTTTACTAAAGGTAAATAAGAGCTCTTCTACGAACACACCATATGCACAATGCTTCCTCTCAGAGAAATACGGCAGCCTATAAAGCGCAGTGAACACGTAGGTGCTCTGGGATGAACTGGAGTCTTGCGACAGCAGCAGTCGGTGAGAAGAATATACGCTTACAATTCAGAAATGCTGACCAGACATATTTCTGAGCATAAATATGTTTAAAATATGCAAAGAATTACAATGGTACTGATGGAAATATTAATTTATTGAAAGTTGCGTATGTTCGGCAGCTTTGAAGCTTTTCTTTTCAATTTTTACCCTTCTATCCAAAAGCTGATTTTAGATCCTAAATTGCTTCTTTACAAAACATTATCAGACCCCTAATATATGTTCAGGTTTTGACTTTTGGTTAGGTTTTTGGTCAAAATCAGTCACTACAGGCAAAATACTTTTAATTGAAAATAACTATGGCCATGAGAACGACAAGAACAGTTGCTGGACAGGCATTTATTGAATGGCTTCTACTGTACCGTCCTTAACACAAACACATAACATCTGGAGCTTCATCTGTGTCAGTCCCTGAACTTGGGAATACAACCCCCTCTTCATTTCAAGGGACACAATGATTTTTGATACAACATCCTACAGTGTCTCCAGTGGGGCCGTGAGCAGTGCCCGTGCACCTCCTGAGCTCTTAGTGCTTCAATATTAGCAGGAAACTGGATTAAGAGGTCACTTGGATGGTTGGCATTAAAAGATTTCCATTAAAGAGTCACCCTCAGCCTTGCAATCTAGCTTTTTCACCACTGTAGAAACAAGGACGCATTTCTTTATTCTAATGAACAATTGGTGTATCTGAGGCAGCTGAACAATGCTAAACAGACAACCAGAGAATCTCAAGATGATTTAAATAGCCTTTTGAAAACTGTGAGGTTCTGTTATAAATGGGAAAGCTGCAGGAACAACGACCTGTGCGCGCTCACCCTGTACCGTGATAAAAACAAGCAGTCATATCATAAAGTAAATAACGCAGCATTAGGAAGAGCATCTTGAAGGAGGCTTTGCGGAAGATGGAGCGGTGTAATGCAATCTAACTGCATTTTGCAAGCAGGTAAAAGGATTAGTGTTCACGACCCAGCATTACATTTGATACTGTTATTTTTTGTGGTGAATCTAAAACTACCCAAGCAGTAGGAAAATGCACTGCAAGAAGGCTGTATCTACAAAATCGTATGGCTATTTACCATCTTTTAGCTTTTGTGCATCTTTTTAAGGAAGAGGGATTACTTCTTAGTGACTGCTGCTCTTCCAGACTTGTCCCTGTGGGTCCCAATTAAAGGATTAAAGGATGTGTCTGGAGAAGAGTTGTGAGAAGCCCTCTCTTGCCAAGGTGGAGTCGAAAAGTCTACAAGCTCAGCCTAGCTCAGTTTCTTCCCCGCTAGCTTAGAAAGTCCTAAAACACAAAGAACTTGATGTTAACAGGAATATACCTGGATAGGATGAGTAACAATCTGAGGGGAATTATGAACAGGTAATGGTTTTCTTCTTCGAGTGCTTCCTTTCAGTCCCATTCACATGGGGCCAGCAAACGCTGCCACGTCGGAGGTAGGAAAAGGAACCGTAGCTCCATTTTTCTATACCACATATCAGAATGGGATGCCAGTGCCAACAAATGACAACAATTATCATCAGAGTCATGTTTGTATACTATTATATTTCAGGTCTAATAGTAAACCTAAGAACATGTAGGTTTTCCGTTCATTCACAGCACAGATGGCAGCAGCATGAGTTTTCACCACCTAGCCCAACATTTGCAATCACAATCTTGTGGAAAATCTAGGGCAATTTAAAAATGATGAGTTACCAGGCTTGATATGAATATAACAGAGTTCCTCAGGAATGATTCAAAGTAGGCTGTTTAATAGGATTTTGCGCTCTTCCAATGAAATTCTGTAAGAAGGATCCTACTGCCTATGAAATTTTACAAGTCCTGTATGATCAGCATTGATACCGCCAATAGGGGCACCCACCCCAACCACTGGAAAACTGATCTGACCATCACATGAAGGAGGAGCTTTAAAAAAATTTAAACAGCAAAGACTGCATCAGTATCAGGCTGTACCAGAACTCTCTGCCCCTGCCTGCTGTAAAAAATTTGAAGAAGAATCTCTGCGTCTATCTTAATGTTAAATCTCAAAAGGTAACACGCAATCATTTTCCATTAGCTCTGAAAAATTTATCAGTCTCTCATTCCGCTACTCCAACAATTTTTTTACGTTCCCAAATCCACAGACAAGGTGATACTCGCAGAAAGACAATACTGGATTAGAGGAAGTCTAAAGAGAACTTGAGGAGATCATGACACTAACTAACAATCATGATAACAAATAGAAGGGTGACACCCACAAACCATTGCTCCTCTCCAACCATAGCGACTGCAGAAACTTTTGCTCCACAGGAAAGTTAATGCATACTATGATTTTTTTTTTGCAATAATCAATTGAAAAGGTAATTTTCTCAGTAATAAATTAGTGCCCATGGATAACTCAGCCCTTTGCCTTCCACATAGCATTGCTAAATATTTCAGATGTGAATACAGCTCTGTTTGAAAATAGATTAAGATCAACAATTCATTCCAGACGGGTATGTAAACTCTGACTATGTAAGAACTTTCAGACGCTGCTCAGGTTTTTGAAATATTTATGCTATGTCTTTTCTTTTTGTAAATTAGACCAGATCATCATCGCTAAGCTCAATAACTGAGAAAATGCCATATTGACACAGGCTACTTTCTCCTGTAAAATGCAGATTCACAACCTTTAACATCAGTAGGGTTGATTAGATCATCTAACGTCATCTACTGTATCATGTAGGGAAGATAATTTCTACCACTTCTGCCTTTATGGAGACCAAGAATGTGTTTTCTCTTGATGCGTAGCCTCAGGAACACCTGGGGTGAATGGGGTGCCTGACTCAAGCGTCTAGGCTCATTCTGGGTGCCCTAGGACTACGGAGATATCCATGCCACAGGGGACCTCCATCCCTCTGGGTTGGCAGCTGGCAGCCACGATGATATACAAATTCTCTTGGTTGCTTTGATAGTTTATGTTTTTCAACTTTTTGGTGGTGTTGTTAATAAATTCAGTCTAACTGCTCAATAGAATGTGAAATATATGTAGTATCTGTCTCGGAAACACTGCATGCAGGTGTTAAAATTGCCTGTTAATGCCTGCTCACTATAGCCCTGATTTCATATCTGAAAGCTGCCTTTATTCTTTTTGTTACATCATACATAATCTATACACAGTATATTGTTACATAGCATTGTTTCTCAGAATCACTGCTTTCCGTTCTCCTTTTTTTTACGTATTTGTTGTTACACACATTGCTTTGTGATTGCCAAAATATCTATATACATTCTTAGAACGGGCCCATGTCAAAAATAGTGATGACTGCTTTATATACCTGGCCTGCACTCCCTATGATTTAGAACTCCATCAGGCTGGATGACAGAGCAGGTGTACCGAGTAGCAATTTAATATTCACTTCAACATCCCAGATAGACAAACATTTAATAGGATATAAGAAATTTCCTCAGGCACTTTTGTACCATCCTGTAGAATTTAACAGAGAATTATATCCTTTCTAAACAATCCAATCTTATGGTTCAAAACAGGGTTAGGATATTTTTATATTTTCCGTTCTCTGTAAGAATAAGTTTTAAGAATAATTGTCACAGAAATCCGTGTTTTTCTTCCCTAGTAATTCCATAGGCTTGCCCTTAAGGACTAACATTAGCAAATTCTGAAATGACAGCTCTGACTATTCCCAGATTTGGGAAAGGTCCGTATCTTGGTAAATAGCTGGTGATTCTGATCTGGTTTAGGATGTTTCTTTCTTCTGGAAGTAATTAGTTTCTCCAGAGAAACACTTTTTTCAAGTTTCACAAAAAGGGCTCAAAGAATGACGTTGTCATGGAAAATAGCATAGATACAAAGAAATTAAACATCTTCTCAGTTACAGCTGGCCACCTCTCCCGCACTGTTGGCACCCACCAGGAGGTCTACAGGACGATTCGCAAAGTAAAGCACAAGCCAGCAGGTTTGGTTTGGGCCATGGAGATGGCAACAGTTCCTCCAGTACAGTAGATAAAGCTTTCCACCCAACAGTTTGAGTTCCTTGCATGACTTAAGGTCTGGAAAATCATGGTTCATCTTCAGAATTTTGTTGAAACTAGTGAATGATCTTACAGGAATTATCATACATGAAAAGCTACTCTTTGGGGATTTTTATGGAACAAAATAAGCATTTAAATTTTCTGTTTGTATAACTTAGAAAAACACTTTCAGTACACTCCTTTGGGGGCACGGACATTTCCCAAAATGATCGGTGGCTTTAGCTGACTGTAGGGATTAGAAAATGGCAATAGCAGCCCAGATTCTGAAACTCGGAGGACTCAGGCTGAAATTAAGAAATTTGGCGTGCAGTAAAACAACACAGCTCAGAGCTTTTATTTTAAAGCCGATGTCTTACCAAATACAGCCATCTGTGTTCCCTCTGGGAAAGGTTCTACCATTCTGTTTCCGTTGACATGATGTTTATCTAGAAGGAAAAAAAAAAAATCGTCAAAATGTAAGAAAATATCTGCTTTGCATAAAAACTTCTTTTTCTTACGGTTCTATTGGAACCTGAAGTTTGATTTATGAAAGCTGGCCTGTACGATTCACTAATACCTAGAACTTCACACTCTCCGAGTCTATTTTTCAAAAATACTGTGCACAGGTCCCAGGATATAAACTGAAGGAGCCTGGAGAAGAGAAGGCTGAGGGGAGACCTGATTGCAGCCTTTCAATACCTAAAGGGGGCCTATAGGAAAGATGGGGAAAATCTTTTTAGTAGGGCCAGCAGTGACAAGACAAGGGGTAATGGTTTCAAACTAAACCAGGGTAGGTTTAGACTGGATATAAGGAAGAAGTTCTTTACAATGAGGGTGGTGAAACATTGGAACAGGCTGCCCAGAGAGGGGGTGGAGGCCCCATCCCTGGAAGCATTCAAGGCCAGGTTGGACGGGGCTGTGAGCAACCTGATCTGGTTAAAGGTGTCCCTGCTCACTGCAAGGGGGTTGGACTAGATGACCTCTAGGGGTCTCTTCCAACCCAAAACATTCTATGATTCTATGATTCTATGATTTCAGTGAAGACAAGTCAGCTGATAGGAACACGACGCACACGTACAGAGCAATACACAGCAGCAATCTCCGTCAAAGGCGGAGCACTCTTGAAAGCAACCTCCTCATGGGAGCAGTACTGCTGCTGTGTGAGAATATAATGTCAAGGTTGATAAATCTGCATCTATATATATGTAGGTAAAAATATAAAAAATAACATTTATATAATTGCAAATTGATATTCACTAGCGTGATGAGTTGCCCTTGGCTGGCTGCCAGATGCCCACCCAGCCACTCTCTCCCTCCCCCTCGTCAACAGGGCAGGGGGAGAAAACCAGGTGGAAAAGCTCGTGGGTCGAGGTAATATCCAGGGAGATCCCTTCCCACTTACCATCATGGGCAGACCAGACTCGACTTGGGGAGAATTAATTTAATTTATTGCCAAGTAAAATGTGTTTGGAAAGTGAGAAACAAAGACAAATTAAACCAACACCTTCCCCACATCTCCCCTTTTCCCAGGCCCAACTTCACTCCATTCCCGACTCCGACCTTCAGGCTCACAGGGCTGTTTCTCACACTTTTTTTCCTCACTCCTCACTGCTGTGCCATGTTTTCCTCTTTCTTACGTATATTTTGCCAGAGGCACCACCAGCATTGTTGAGGCGCTCAGCTGTGTGGTGGGGCTGTCCCTGAGCCATCTGGAACTGGTTGTGTCCAGCATGGGGCAGCCCCTGCAACCCTCCCGCTTATCAAATCCCGGACATTTACACCCAATACAGTCAGCAATGTTCACTAAAATGAGTATTTATCCAACATACTCTAATGCCACATCCATTCAGGACAGACCATAAAGTTTGTTTTTTACAGCAGTCCCACCTTGAACTGTTTTAACACTATTCAATTACTGTCACTATTGGAAATGACTGTAACGGATCAAACGTAATTGGTCTTCCATTAACCAATGCTTAACCAAGGAAGGGAGAGGAGCATGAAATGCAAACCAAAATGCATCGTTCAATTGTCCTCAGTGACTTGGAGTCGGCAGCCCCAGCACCTTCCAGCTCCCACCAGGTCTCCGCAACGGAGATGTTTTTCACACTGGATACTTCCTCTACGCTATGGCCAAATTTCTTCCATTTTTTCTTAGAAAACTTGATGCATTATGCAAAATTAGGCAAACTGCATCTGCTGTTTGCATGGAAACTGAAAAGCTGGCACACTTGAGGTCTACTTGAGTTAAACGGTCCTCTTCTAGCCGCTGTGGCTACCCACTCTATGGTGAAAGACCCATTTCCTCTCGAGAGCAGCCGGGCTCTGGGAAATCTGGTCTGTGGAAGCAGATAGATGAGCTGCAGCAATCGCAAGGTGCCGTTTAAGACTAAGTTATATATCCTTGCACAAGTATCCAGGAGGACATAAGACAGAACACCTGTACAAAGCATTTTCAAAAAAGCCAAATCGAGACTGAGACTTCCCGTCTCAAAGAACACAAAGCATATCATGTGTGCAATATCATGGCATCGTTGGTGCATGATTTCTATGCAATAAAATAGCAGAAGCCTGGCTTTTCTCCCTGCATGACAAGATGGCTCCCAGGGACTAGAAACTGCTAAGTTTCCAAACCAAATAATATATTCTTCACATCCCTATGCACATCTCTTTCATCCCAATGTACCTTCCTGAGCATAAAGAAAATTCTCCTCCTTGTGATAACACAGGTTTATCATTATTGTATAATCACGGTTATACATATAACCTGGGAGGGTTGTATGCATAACCTGGAAATGAGCTCTCCAACCCCCAAATAAAATAAAATATACAGATCCACAACAGAACACTCCCAATCCTTTCACTGACATTCCCACATTCATTTATTGATCTATTACGACTCATTGTGGACTCGTGGTGGAAAGAAATAAAATCACCTGAACTCAAACTACAGGCTTCTGTTCACAAAATACTTTCCAGGTAGAAAGGCAAGAGATTTTCTCAGTACATGCATTATTTTACTTCCTGCAGTACAGAACCTGGTGAGGAATAAAGCAGGTCAAATAAAGAACAGGGGACTGCCTTGCAAATTCTCTGAAAGCAATATTTTTCATTAGTAGGGAGGCGTAGCACAGTATTAATCCCAGCTGGCATCAAACATTTATCAACAGTCAATGAGAAGGGAAAATCAGGGTTATCTGCCATTGGAGCAAGAGGTGCCATGAAGTCAACTGTTTGCATTTAGGAAGATTGAATGCCCTGGGCCACAAAAGCCAAGAGAGGGGCTTTAGGAAGGAAATTGCTGGGAGGTTCCAGAGTGGGAGTAATATGACCAGGGCTGTACAAGGTTTCAATCTTGTTAGCTATAGCTTGTATTACTAACATGATCTACAGCCATCTGAGATGAGTGAACAGTCAGAAAAATTACGAAACATCATGCAAGATCAAATAAACTAACCCTGCCCTAGTACTGATAGCTGCCTTCATTTAAAGAGTGAATGACATAGAAGATGTATGAAGTAGTTATCATTTCAAATGGTGAGGCTTTCAATATATTAAAATTAAAATTAAACTTTTAGAGGTGAGATGGGCTTGAATGAAAGTAATGTTTTCAGAGTTCTCAAGCTGTCTTCCAATGCCTTCATAATTTTTGTTTCAAAGATCTTAGCCAGATAAAATAATTCATTTTCTTGTCAGTCACACTTTGTTTTACAATTTTTCCAGTATTCCCTGCTCCCTGCCTAGATGCACTGAATAGTAAAAAATCAACAAAATTTACATGGACATTCACAAAACATCCATTCATAGAATCACAGAATCATAGAATCATAGAACCATTCAGGTTGGAAAAGACCTTTAAGATCACCAAGTCCAACCGTTAACCTAACCCAGAAAATTTTCCTAATGTATGTCCAACCTAAACCTGCCCTGGCACAACTTCAGACCATCCCCCCTCATCCTATCGCCCGTTACCAGGGAGAAGAGGCCGACCCCCCCCTCCCTACCCCCTCCTTTCAGGCAGTTGTAGAGGGCGATCAGGTCTCCCCTCAGCCTCCTCTTCTCCAGACTAAACAACCCCAGCTCCCTCAGCCGTTCCTCGTATGACTTGTGCTCCAGACCCCTCACCAGCTTGGTTGCTCTCCTCTGGACATGTTCCAGCAAGGCAACATCTTTCTTGTAGTGAGGGGCCCAAAACTGAACACAGGATTCAAGGTGCGGCCTCACCAGCACCGAGTACAGGGGCACGATCACTTCCCTACTCCTGCTGGCCACACTATTCCTGATACAACCTCAGGAAGAAAGTAAGAACGTGTAGTGCAAAGAGCCTCCCCACAAGTACGCTATTCAAAGGACATTGCAGTTTGGGGCTTTTTACCGAACCGTTTTTCTTGTGAAAACATAAGCTTTAATTCTCACCTACAAATAGGATTGAATAGCTCCAGAAAATCAGAAATACTTTGGCCCCATGGAATTAGAAAAAAAATTAGAAGGACTTCCCCTGTAACTTGCCAACAGAAAGAATAAATGACTGTTCCGAGCTCATCGTCATTCCAGGGACAAGGGCTTGCACTATGTAAGACAAAACCTGTTGTTGCAGAGACATGGAAAGATTAACAGTGAACACTGAACTGGCTATGAGAAGTTAGCTTCAGCTTCCTAGTGGCGAAACCAACATGTTTCACCCTAATACTGTCAATAATTACAGGGTTAATCCTTCAGTGGACTACAAGAGCATTCAGGCACTTGGAAAAGTAGGATTGTGAGGACATTAATGTCTTTATGTCATCCTCTTGATCTTTTCGTTCCTCAGAATGTCAACAGAAAGCCAGTTGGTAAGGAATAAATCTTTATTTCTGTTTTATTGATAGTCAAGCTGTCAGCATTTTCAGGAATGTAACTTCACAATGGGGGACTCCCTCTCAAAACTGTCGAATCATCCATCCTCAACCACAAGAACTCTCTTTATCATTTTTCAAACTAAGCCTGAGAGATATCTGCAACAAACTTTGCTCCCTGCTGACCAGAACTTGTATGCACTGGAAGCAACACGTATCCTGGAGGTCTTGACATTCAACGTTAGCTTCAGGCAAAGTCTGCTTTAGACAGATGCAGTGCCTGGCCCTCTCGCCTTAGATTCTCGGGATTTTTATAGAAATAATCCTTCACAAATCCTCTGTATCTGTGAAACAGCGTAACATATCGAAAGATAATCCAAAGTTGCTAAACAGGTCCTCAATATTTCTTGGGCATTATTCAGTCTTTGCAGGCTATCGCTCAGTAGTTCCTCACATAGCCCTACCATCGCCCTTTGCTAAAGATTCTCTAACTTCAAGTCATGTTCTGTCCACACATGGCTTAGGCTATATCCATACTAGTAAACTATTAAAATAAACAAGTCATTTCTAGAAACTATTTGAGCCAGTGTTAATTAGACGAGCTGAAATCA